AAAGAAAGAAAAAAGAAAAAAAAACAACAACCATGTATCTCAGTAGCTGGCTCTCAGGATGGTTTTTTTCAATTCTGGGTTTTAATGGCTGTTACAAAAGTATGGGAGGTGAACAGAGGATGGACAACATTAGCTGGCCTTACTAAATCATCATATTCATTATTAAATTCCATCCACCAAATATGTAAAGGTTTTTGTTAAAATGCAGCTAGTATATTTCTATTTAAAATATATGTTTAAATTCAAAGTGATATAAAATTCTTCAAAAGTAGGCCTCAGTAGTTGGATCTTATGACATTTTTAAAGGATGGCCGGGTGTGGTGGCTCATGCCTGTAATCACAGCACTTTGGAGGCTAAGGCAGGTGATCACCAAATGTCAGGAGTTCGACACCAGCCTGGCCAACATGGCAAAACCCCATCTCTCCTAAAAATACAAAAATTAGCCAGGTGTGGTGGCACACACCTATAATCCCAGCTACTCAGGATGCTGAGGCAGGAGAATCGCTTGAACCTGGGAGGCGGGGGTTGCAGTGAACTGAGATTGTGTCACTACACTCCAGCCTGGGCAACAGAGTAAGACTCCGTCTCAAAAAAGCAAGGATGAAATGTGAGTAATGTTCACATTGTACACATTTCTTCCTTTATAATATACTATTTTCCCACTGAAGTACACACCAATTTTCATCTACTAACATATTTTTCTATGTGTCATTGTACTGGTAACGAGACGTATTACTGCAAGACTAGCTGAAGTTTGTCTATTAGGTCAATTCACAGAAAGGCATTCAGGAAGGTATTACATCTGCACTGCTGGGCAATGAATGGCTTGACTCGGTGATCCTTACACATTCCTTTTCTTGCCCATCTCCATTTCTCCCCTTCTTTTGCTTTTCTACTAGAACTTCTATTTACATTTCTCTTAATAATTCAGTTTTCAATAACTTGTGGATTTTTTAAGTGAATATGGCTATTCATGAAATATAATACCAATTTATTATTGGGCCAAGATTTATTAGTAAAACCTTACTAATCAAAAATTGGTGGCCAGGCATGGTGGCTCACGCCTGTAATCCCAAAACTTTGGAAAACCAAGGTGGGTGAATCACCTTGGAGGTCAGGAGTTAGAGACCAGCCTGGTCAACATGGCAAAACTCCATCTCTACTAAAAATACAAAAATTAGCCAGGCGTGGTGGCAGGCACCTGTAATCCCAGCTACTCGGGACGCTAAGGCAGGAGGATTGCTTGAACCCGAGAGGTGGAGACTGCAGTGAGCTGAGATCACGCCACTACACTCCAGCCTGGGCAACAAGAGTGAGACTCTGTCTCAAAAAAAAAAAAAAAAAAAATTGAGATATTTCAACCTAGTTTAGAGATGACATTTATCTTTATACCATCATTAGGAACTAATCAAGAGATTAAACAAGATGTGGTTCTACTTGAAGTAAATATTTTACTATTTCATAGACTTTAAAACTTTTTTTCTTTTTCTTTTTTCTTTTTGACTTTAAAACATTTTTAACATGAAATTATAGGATTTATCAACAAAAGTAAGTTGGTAATATCTGTACTATACTAGAAAACTGTATTAGAAAGATGGTCAACGGTACTATTTAATATTTTGAATACTCTTGTGTTGAAATACACTTACTTTTAAAAACAGCATTCAAACTCGCCTCTCTCCCAGTATCTCTCGAAGCATATGACGAAGCATATAAGAACTAATGAATAAATTCTAATTAATTATTACTGAGTTAAAGCAAGGAGAAATTAAAATAGTTTCATTTTGTTTAATGTTATGATTCTAAGACAGATAAATATATTAAAGTAATGTGATTATAAAGTAGCAGGTTCTAAGTGAGAATCAAGAAAGCTCATATTAGAAAACATGATGCAGGGAAGATAGTTCTTCTAGAATACTTTAGAACTTTCTCCATATTTTAGAATACTGCTGTATACTTTAAATGATTAAAATAATAGCTTTTCCTGAAAAGTAATTAAAAAGGAATTTCAATTCATTCCACTCTAAATAAGAAATAACTCTAGGTAAAACATGAAAAAGGCATTTGGCAGAATTGTGATTTTGCCCATTCGAAACAAGTTTATTTGGATTTGTTCAACAGATATGTTTCTAAGAAGTTGTGCTTAGATGTTAAAGCTTTAGAAAACAAACTTTCTGCCGTGCTAAATATCTTGCTGAAATATAAACAATATCTAATTTTTCAGTGTTATTCATGTCCTTTTTATATACTGTATTTTTAAAGGAGGAGTGGGAATAGATCTTTATTTACAAATACATGGCATTAAATGCTAGCACCAAATAGCTTGTGTGAAAATACGTATTGATAATATTATCCAAAACATCTAAAGAAAAATAGGTTAGTATTTTTTAATGGATTTTGAATAATATAGAAATATGTATTAAGAGACAGATCTCATATTTTTAGTTAAAATTGAACATGGGAAGACTTTAAAATTAAAATCCTCTCTTTCAGAGAAAGAGTATTGAAACTATCAAATAAATTGCTTATCTCATCTGTCTGAATACTGACTAAATCATCTTACCATATATGAACGTTTCCACCAAAATCTCCAGTAGCTAAATATCTCTGCTGTAAAGATGTTGCACCAAATGTTCCACATTTAATAGGCTTGGCCTTTTCAATCTTGACAGAAAGGAGGAAGACAGGATATATTATTTATGTAAGCCGATATTTACAATCTATTAATACCATATTTATGGCTCTATTATGGCACTTAAATAAGATAATATAAAAGGCAATTAAAACATCTTCTGATGAAAATGATCAGCTTTTTCCTTTAGTCATTTTTTTTAATGTAACTGTCAAAAAGAAAGTGTTAATTTGCCTTTCCTCTCCTCTCACTAATGAGACATTCAAATGCTGACAGCTCTACCATCTTTAATGCAAATATGAAAGTTTCAGCATTTCATGTGAAATTCTTTAAGATCCTCAGCAGAAATGAGAACATAATGAAGATGTTATCTTTCCAGATGGCTACAGGAACAAAAATGTTATATGTCTCTTATAGTTTTCCCTGCAGAATCCTGTAAACTGAAGATGCTTATGTCCCACTTTCTCTGGGGCCTTTTCAATGCAGAGAGACTTAGAAACCTGTGTGTATCAAGGCACTCCTATTAGTATGGGTCAGCCAATCTTTTGAGGTTTTAGGCTAGTGCTTCAAGTATTGCATATAATCACATTAGTAAAACAACCACATACTGATATGTTATTTAAGGTATGGGGCTTATGGAAATCAAGTGAAGATGATCATGTAGCCAAAAAGGTCCTTGGAAAGGATCTAATACAATATCCTCCTGTCATAAAAAGAGACCAAAGCACAGAGATTTACAGACTTGCCTAATTCATGCAACATTCAGCATTTAATGGTTCCTACTATATGCAAGTCACTGAACTAGGCAAAAGAGGATACAAGATGAATGAGATTGGCCAGTCCCTCAAAAAGCTTACAACTCAAATATCAGTTCCTATCTGGTTCCTCCAAAATATACACACTCATTATACTACTCCCACACCTCCCTGGGTCTCCCATTCACCTTCTTTTACTTCCTGATGTTTTTTATTTCTCCACAGCCCCTCCCACCCCCAACTCCGTTTGCCCACGTTACCAAAGTCCCTCCTACAGTTTAACTGCTTTTCCTGCTGCCTTAGCTCCTGAGATCTCTGGAATATGGAATTAGATGAGGCACTGATATTTGCCCCACACCACACTCTTGCCATATAACACTTCCCATTGACTGTCAGCCTCAACAGGGAAAAACTATTCCTCCTAGACTCCAGCAATTTTTACATTTTTACATTCTTAATGTTTATAAGAGTAATACCTGATCCCTATAAAAATTCAAACAAAAGGATGGAAGGAAAAGTGAGTCCCTTTAACACTCTCCAGAAGCAATCCCCAACCTTCTAGATATATATATATATATATTTTTTTTTTGGAGACAGAGTCTCGCTCTGTTGCCAGACTGGAGTGCAGTGGTGTGATCTTGGCTCACTGCAACCTCCGCCTCCCGGGTTCAAGTGATTCTCCTGCCTCAGCCTCCTGAGTAGCTGGGACTACAGGCATATGCCACCACATCCAGCTAATTTTTATATTTTCAGTAGAGACAGGGTTTCACCAGGTTGGCCAGGATGGTCTTGATCTTTTGACCTAGTGATCCGCGCACCTCAGCCTCCCAAAGTGCTGGGATTATAGGCATGAGCCACCGCGCCTGGCAACTTCTAGATCTTCTATGCATTTACAAACACACATGCTTTTGTTTCAATACAAGGCAGATCATAGTATGCTATCCTTTGATTTGTTTCACTTAACAATACATCTGGATAAACTTTATTCCTTCTGTAGGGTTCTCCAGTTTCCAGGACATCTTCCCTTGTAACTGTCAGTTCTCTTCATCCTTCCCAGGTTGACCTGTTTCAACTAATTTTAAAAATAATTTCCCTGCCACTTCCAGTGTTTAGGAAGGCATTTCCATATGGGATATATTATCCATATAAGGTATACAGAGCAATTTTCAAGAGCAAAACAAAATTCACTTAACACAAACTATAACAACTATTTGTCTCTGATTCAAAGGATACCATTATATGGTATAGGGCTTTGGAAACTCCCAGACTATTGAACTTTCCCATTGTTTGGGATCTGGATAAATTAGCAGTTACTATGTGGCCAAATCTAAAAGCATTCATACCCTCTCAGAATTGTCTAGTAAATGAAATCAGCCATCTACAGTAACATGTTTGTAAAAGACCATATTGATGAGAAGCACAGAACCACAGAATGCTTTTCTTTTTAATGCACAAGTGGTCTGAGATGGCATCAGTTATTCCCTGCACCAGAAAATTAATACTCATTTATTCTCATTTTTTTCCAATATTATGAAAAAGAGTATCTTAAAATGGGGCAAAGGATCACACAGAGGATCAAAATTTTGTCAACTTACCAAAGCCCACAGTTTCTAACTTATGTTATGTTATAAGGAAACAATTTTCGTTTTCCTCACCTTTCCCCTCTCCCCAAATAAAAGCACCTGAAATAATATATTAATATATTAACAGTGGTAAAGCACTTAATCACTGTTGGGGCACAATTTCTATGGTGAAATTAATTCAGAGTTCCAACCTATGCCAACTGATGAAACGGCTATCCAACCCTCCCTTTCCTTGGTCTCATATTGAACCTGGGTATTGCAAGCTCTAAGCCATTGATAATGGCTTCCATTTTCTGAGGCAGAGGGTGGGTGCAGACCCTCTGAGGTTAAGAAGCTGGTGGTCCTCATGCACAGCAATGTGGTTCCAGGAGACAGGTGATTAGGAGCTGTGGAGAGCTTGCATCATTTATTGATCCAATTCTCTGAGAACATTTTTCTCCAAGAAGCATTGGGAAGACTGGTCGTCCATTTTCTTCCCCCCCAACCAGCTAAAGCATTTTGCTTCCCAGAATTCCACTGCCATCCCCTAAAACCTCTGATGAGGGTTTCTATGCTTCCTAGGCCATGGAAGGGGTAAAAACTGACCAAGGCTCTTTGGTTCCTACAGTCTTCTAAAATTTTACTGCTGGTAATAAAAACCTGGAAGCAAAAACTTTCCTCCCTGTTGTGGTTTTACCCAACTTTCACTTTTAGATCCTTTAGAGAATCTCAAACTATACTCCTGGAACACACTGATCTGTTACTAACATAATACACTAATTAGAAAATTCACCAAGAACAAAAGCCGATGGATGTGTTTTTCTCAAATTTAAATGTTTTTTAAAAAATAATTTTCTTGGATTGCCTGGTAGAAAATACTAGCAAACGAACATCAGTAAAAAAATTTTGGGTCGGACACAGTGGCTTATGCCTGTTAATCCCAGCACTTTGGGAGGCCAGGGCGGGCAAATCACTTGAAGTCAGGAATTCGAGACCAGCCTGGCCAACATGGCAAAACCCTGTCTCTACTAAAAATACAAAAATTAGCCAGGCATGGTGGTGGATGCCTGTAATCCCAGCTACTTGGGAGGCTGAAGCAGAACTGTTTGAACCCAAGGGGCGGAGGTTGCAATGAGCCAAAATCACACCACTGCACTCCAGCCTGGGCGACAGAGGGAGAGAGAGACTGCCTCAAAAAAAAAAAAAAAAAAAAAAAAAAAAAAAAAAAAAAAAAAAAAAAAAAAAAAAAAAAAAAAAAAAAAAAAAAAAATTTTAAACTGTGTAGTTACTTGTGATGTAAAAATCAGAATATATACATACATATATATATATAGTCGGAATATATAAACATATATAGTCAGATTTTTCTGCTGAAAATCTCTTCCCTGTGCAGATGGAACTGACTACTCCAATATTTTATGGTGTTCCAAAAGACAGCATGTAATGTGCAGATTCTTTGACACCTGTGCATTTTAAAGGTAGAATTGCTACCTTTAAAAGAAAGAAACCAAACTGACAACTAACCTACACAACAGGCTTTATACATTTTCACATTTGTCACTGCAACCCTTCTAAAAGTGTGTCTTTATTACTAATATAAAGGAAAGAAGTAAAATGCATCTATACTGAGAAGCACAGACTCATAGGAGTGGCACCAAGGCCTGTGGTATACGAAAGGCACAAAGCCCTTTGAGATCTGGTCTTGCCACTGTGTGACTTCATTTCCTGTTTCCAGCCTTCTCTACTAATTCCAGTCACACAAGTCAGCTTGCTTTTTGTTCTTCAGGCTTGCAAAGGTCTTTTCCACTCAGGCCATTTACATTTGCTATTCCCACTGCTTGGACTGCTTTTCCCCAGGTCACCATGCCTCTATCCTTCTCTTCATTTGGATTTCAGTTCATACGCCACATCCCCAAAGAGGTCTTCCTTGCCCTTCCAATCTGAAGAAGAACCCCTAGATTACTGTCACTTACCCTGTTTAATCATCTATTACACTTATCAACAAAATTATTTTATTCATGCAATTATGTTGCCCTTTCTAGAATGTGAGCACCATGAGAGCAGGGCTTGACTAATTTTTTTTAACCCATAGCAGGCACTCAAAATTTGTTGAATGAAGGTATAAATGACTGTCCATGAATTTCTCAGCCCTAACACTAGAGACAGACAAACCATCTATTACACTTATCAACAAAATTATTTTATTCATGCAATTATGTTGCCCTTTCTAGAATGTGAGCACCATGAGAGCAGGGCTTGACAAATTTTTTTTAACCCATAGCAGGACTCAAAATTTGTTGAATGAAGGTATAAATGACTGTCCATGAATTTCTCAGCCCTAACACTGGAGACAGACAAACCAGGGCTGGAGTTCATTTTATTTTGGCTCCCTTTTCTACCATACTTTCATGTGCCAGAGCTCTGACAAACAGTTCAGTTTCTGGTGTCACTGACATGCAATCATAAAAATGGCATCCATCTATTGAACACCCACCTATCAGATATGTTCTAGATGTTCTTCCAGTCTAAACCACCCCTTTTCTTTCTAATATGTACAACACTGCAAACTACGTGTTCAGAATACCACTTTCAAGACGACAAAACAGGTTCAGAGCACCAAGTGACTAAGGTCCCAAGAGCCAGGTGGAATCCAGGTTTTTTCTCCTAAACCAGGCTGCCTCCAGGCTTATATATAAATCGATTAAATAAGCATTTTATTATTGGAGTCTCCATTCTGTAAACCTGAGAGTCATTGGAAGTATCACGGAAATGTTCAATCTTGATTGCTGAAGTAAATGGTACACGGCATGAATTAAACCTACTTTCAGATGGCTGTCCTTTGGTTTTTACCTTCATTCATATCTTTACAAGATATCAATATATGATATTATGCTTCCCTCATGTTCTTTGTTCTCTTCCTAAAGAAACACAAAGATATTTATAGACACTAGTGGTCTGCTGTGCAAGAACCAAATTAAACTCAAATTTTATATTTTGAACATATTAAACATATTATGAACATATTAAACATACTAACATTTATCATTTGTGTGCACTGAGGACTGAACTTTGCTCAGAAGGGCTGAGCTCTGTTGCCAAATGGACTTACAAAAGTAGGCATGTTTCCTCTTTCCTCTGATATTCATGGAAATGGTAATAACAGCTAAATCAAGAGGACACTAGTGAAGTTAATTTTTCATAGTTCACCAAAGGGTTCCCTCTTAGCCCTGTTAGATACTGTATCTATGGAAAAGGAAAGATGAAAAGAAGTTGGTAGTAACTCAAAATTTTTCTTGCTAGAAAACTAATTGGCTAAAAATGGCTAAAAAATGAAGCTCTATCTTGCAAAAATTGTTCAACAATCAGTATATATTAACAATTTTTGCTATATGATACTGAAAATGACCATCAATGGTGGTCATAATTGACCTAGCTGTTCATTTTCTTTGCTACAATAAGAAGTCAAAATGATTAAAGAAGCTCAAGATCAATAATTCCTGTGAGAGCTATTTTTGTTCCGTATGTGGGTGGGTCTAGTACAGCTTGTCAGTATTTCCTCCTCCACATCCTGGCACTACTTAATTAACATTAAAAGATCTAGCCAACCAAATGCTAACAGGCAGTAAATTCAGTAGCACAGGGGCTAAAAAAGCAGAATTTTATTAGCTTATTGCTATTTTTTATAGTATAAACATCTACGACTGCGATTCCATTTTTCAGGGCCATCCCTACTCCATAAGGCATCTTTGTGCCAATTAGAAAAAAGTTGCCCTTTATAGGCTGATGAAGTCTTACACATGTAAGCCTTGATGAAGGAAAAAGAGCTTTGGGCTCACATTTTATCACTCAGCCAGACAGACACCTTTGTGTGGTGCAAAAAACTGCTCAACTGTACATGGAGGCCCTGCCCTCCATTCCCTGTCTATCCTTTCAGAACTAAGATAAAGGCTTCAACAAAGACTCATATGCTTCCTTTACATTTTTTTTCTTAGATGCACAGGCTTTGTGAGCTCCAAGTCAGTGATTAGTTTAAAAAAAAAAAAAAAAAGAACAAAGATGCGTGAGCTTTGGAGCACGTGACTTAGGGGTAGTTCTATAATGATAAATCAAGTCTGTTTCCTAATATTTTCATAAATGACCCATCTAGCTCAATAGTTCTCAGCCCTGAGACTCATTAGAATCACCTTGCAAAAGTTTAAAGAAATTCTAATTTCTAAACCTTACTCTAGATGCAACAAATATGTACCACTGTGCCAGAATTTCTAAGGGTGGGACCAAGGCACAAATGTTTTAAAACACACACACGCACACGCGGCACAAAAGGCACTCATATGATCCCGATGCCCAGTAAAGAGTGGGGGTGACTGGACCAGTATTTAATCTACATTTTTTTCCATTTCACCAGAGCAGCCAAACACAATGTAAGTTCTTAAACGTATTCTTGCATTAGTTTGTCCTCTTTTTGGACAGTAGGCTCTTTAGGAGAAAGGACTCAACTTTTAAATATCTTTGGTCCTTGTTAAACACAGTACCTTGAAATAGTGTGTTCTCAGATTGTTCGTGGTAGGAAAAAAAGAAGACCCAAAGGATCCAGGTGAAAATACACTTAGTGGTTATTCCTGGCATTGAGATTATGAGTGATATTTTCTTCATTTTCCTATCATATTTGCTAAATGTTCTATCATAAATACATATTGCTTTTGCTACAAAAGAAAATTATCTTTTTAAAATCTGCTGAAATTCCCTAGCATCTCTACAAAAGACAAAGCACTCTACTCCACTTGATGCAGTAAGTGTACTTTTGAAACGCGTACAAATCATATATTCTTATTTTATTATTTTTTGAGGCAGGGCCTTTCTCCGCCACCCCGGCCGAAGTGCAGTGGTGCAATCATGGCTCACTACAGCCCTGACCTTCTGGGTTCAAGAGATCCTCCCACCACAGCCTCCTAAGTAGCTGGAACTACAGGCACATGTCACTATGCCCAGCTAATTTTTGTATTTTTTTATACAAAAAGTAGAGACGGGGTTTCACCTTGTTGCCCAGGCTGGTCTTGAACTCCTGGGCTCAAGCAATCCACCCCTCTGCCTCCCAAAGTGTTGGGATTACAGGCGTAGCCACTGCATGAGGCCTATTCTTATTTTAAAAAGTCACAAGTCTGAGCCCTGATCCTGCCACTCTACTCCATCCTAGGCAAGAGTGAGAACCTGTCTCAAAAAAAAAGAACAAGAAAAATTTCAATCATGTCCCATCTTCTTTGAAAAAGGAATAAATGGCCAGACGCAGTGGCTCAAGTCTGTAATCCCAGCATTCTGGGAGGCTGAGGCGGGTGGATCACCTGAGGTCAGGCGTTCGAGACCAGCCTGACCAACGTGGTGAAACCCCATCACTACTAAAAATACAAAAAAATTTAGCTGCGCATGGTGGCAGGCACCTGTAATCCCAGCTACTAGGGAGACTGAGGCAGAATAGTTTAAACCTGGGAGGCGGAGGATGCAATGAGCTGAGATCGCGCCATTGCACGCCAGCTTGGGCAACAGAGCAAGACTCCGTCTCAAAAAACATAAAAAATGAAAATCCTTTAAATGCCTTTTCTTTTTCATGGTGGCTCACACCTGATCCAGCACTTTGGGGGGCAGAGGCAGGAGGATGGTTTGAGCCCAGGAGTTCTAGGCTACAGTGAGCTATGACAATACGACTGCAGTCCAGACTGAGTGACAGAACTACGCCATCTCTAAAAAAAAAAGAAAACAACAATAAAAAACAAAAACAACCCCAAATGCAATACAAAGAAATTTTACTTTGTGTAGAAATCAGGAAGGACATCATACATTAGATAATCTGAACTGAACATTAGAATAGCAACAGGTGGCCGGGTGTGGTGGCTCACTCTTGTAATCCCAGTATTTTGAGAGGCCGAGGCAGGCAGACTGCTTGAGTCCAGGAGGTGGACACCAGCCTGGACAACATGGTGAAACCCCATCTCTACCAAAAAAAAAAAAAAAAAAAAAAAAAAAAAAAAAATTGAGATATTTCAACCTAGTTTAGAGATGACATTTATCTTTATACCATCATTAGGAAC